AAAACACTGAATTTAACAATTTTAATTTTTAAAAAAGAACACTATAGACCCATAATTTCTCTGGCGAGTTGTATCTGTCATTGATGGAAGAAATTATAAAACTCTACATGAACTATTGCATAAATGACCTTACTCAGACTAATTGAGTAAGGCCAATATTACTCTGATACTAACTTCAGATGACAATTTACAAGAAAAGTTAGAATGTACTGATATCCTTCATGAATATAGGCATAAAATACTTCTTAAACCCATAGTTTAATTGAAGTATAACTGATATACAAATAACTCTACAAATTAAATATATACAACTTTATGAGTTCGTGTGTATTGAAACCATTGCCCAAATCAAGGTAATAGACATATCCATCATCTCCACTCCAAAGGTTTCCGTGTGTGTGTGTGTGTGTGTGTGTGTGTGTGTGTGTATTAATAACAGTTAACATGAGTTCTACAATTTGGTGCATACTACAATATTATTGACTATCAAAACCCAAGTAAATCTAAACCAGCAACATATAAGGGATAATAAATCATGATTATTTAGAATTTAGGCCGGGGCTGAGAGTTTTACAAAATCAGTCAACATAGACTCACCATGTTAATCAAACAAAACTAATTGTGCTTTTTAAAAATAGATGCAGAAAAAGCAATTTGCTAAAATTTAATACTCATGTCACAAAAACTTTCAGCGAAGCAAGAAATTCCCTTAATTTCATACTGAGCACCTACTGAAAACCCATAGCCACTATCATATTGGTGAATGTGCATGAATGACTGCTTTTCTGCTCTGATCAGAAATAAGGCAAAAATGTCCACTCTTATCAGTTTTCATCTTTTTACTAACGGTCATTGCCAAAGCCAAATGGCCCAAAAAGAAAGGAAAAGACAAAAGTAAAAAAGTAAAAGGCAGACAGATTGAAAAGGAAGAAGTAAAATTATTTGTATATAGCTTGATCCAGCACAAAAAAAATTCTAAGGAGTTGTCATTTAAACTACTTTAAAGTGATTTTAGTAACTTTTTGATTACTAAACTTTTTGATTATTTTGATTAATGATCCATTGTAGATAGTTCAAAATTACCATTTCTGTTAGCATAAAAATTAAAATTTAAAAGATTAGGTGTAATAGCATTGAAAAACATGAAACATTTAGATTAAATTTTAGAAAATATGTTCAAGAATTGAACATATTAGCTTCCACACATGCACTGAACACTGCAACACAGCTTGAATATTCAAGAAGCAAATAGAATGGGACATGTAATATTTGTAAGAGGAAGTTCAATATTGCTAGGATATTGATTCTTCCAAAATTAATCTATGGATTCAACCTAATTGCAATTAAACTCCTATGACTATGACCTTTTTTATTTCCTCCTTTCAAATATGGTAAAAATTGACAAGCAGAGTTTTAAAATTTTGTGTATTTCAAAACTAAACATAACTTTCTGATATGATCCAAGCAATTTTGTCCCTGGCTATTTACCCAAGAGAGTTGAAAATTTATATCCACCTGCTCAAAGATGGTTCTAGCAGCTGTTTAAAAATTGCCCAAATCCAGAAGTAACCAACATGTCCTTCAGTAGTGAAGCAATAAATAAACTGGTATATCCAGAGACTGAAATATTATGCAGGTCTATTATTCAGAAATGAGCTATCTGGCCACAAAAAATATAAGGAGGAAACTAAACATAATATGAAATGAAGGAAGTTAATCTAAAAAGGCTTAAATACTGTAAGATTCCAACTGTATGAAGTTCTGAATAAAACATAAATAAGAAAACAATAAAAGATCAGTGGTTACCAAGGGTGGAGACTGGTGTTTGTGGGATGGGAGGACAGTTGAATTGGCAGAACACAGAGAACACTGAGGGTGATGGGTCTTTGTAAGATACTATTTGTCTAAACCCTTAGAAGTCCAATGCCAAGTCAGAACCCTAGTGTAAGCCACAGACTCTGGGTGATGATGACTTGTCCATATAAGTTCATCACTGTAACAACTGCACCCCTCTGAGAGGAGGCTGACAGTGGGAGAGGCTGTATGTAGTGAGAGGGACTAGGGCTGTAAAGACATCTCCTTATCTTATGCTCAGTTTTGCTGTGAATCTAAAACAGTGCTAAAACATAAAGGCCATTAAAAATTAAAATATTCAGTTTCATCAATCAATTAAAGACACTTTCATTTAAAAATTACATGGATATACACAATAATAATATTTTTGGTGTGTCAGGGGAGTACCAGGGATTGAATTTAGGGGCACTTGTCCATTGAGCCCCATCCCCTGCATTATTTATTATTTTATTTAGAGACAGGGCTCACTGAGTTGCTTAGCCTCTCACTTTTGCTGAGGCTGGTTTTGAACTCAGGATCCTCCTGCTTCAGCCTCCTGAGCTGCTGGGATCACAGGTGTGCACCACCAGGCCCAGCTAAGAATTTTATTTTTTATATTTGAAAAATATGCAAAATGTATAAAGCAAGTACTTAAGATATCTTTTTATCTTTTTTAAAATTGTTTCTTCTTACTTACACCTAACAGTAGAATTCATTTGGATAAAATTATATAAGCATGGAATATATCTAATTCTGATTAGGACCCCATTCTTGTGGGTACACATGATGGTGAGATTCACTTAGGTATTTTCACATGTGTACATAGGAAAATTATGTTAGATTTATTCTACTGTCTTTCCTATTCCTATACCCCTTTGTTCTGCTTTGTCTAATCTACTGAATTTCTTCCCCCTACCCCTTTATTGTGGTTTAGCATCCACATATCATAGAGAACATTTTACCTTTGTTTTTTTGGGGATTGGCTTATTTCACTTACCATGACAGTTTTCAGATATATCTATTTTCCTGGCAAATGTCATAATGTCATTCTTCTTTATGGTTGAGTAATATTCCATTGTGTATATATACTACATATTCTTTATCCACTTATCTATTAATGGGCATCTAGGTTAGTCAATTGAACTTCACCAAAATTCTTAGGTAAGAGCTCTGGTTTTTTTTTCAATGCAGATATTCATTGAAATGGTATTTAATACCATTTCAGAAAATGCACACAATCAGTAATCCCTATGCTCATGGTATTAGAGTGTCCAGGATAATATCTATACCCCATCGATCATATTGATGATGACCCTAAGAATAGAATTCCTAAAATAGGATTTACATTATCTAACTTTGAGATTTACTATAAAGCTAGGTAAGAAAGGCTGTGATAGTGGCATATAACTTTCTATCTATCTATTCATCCATCCATCCATCCATCCATCTATCAATGCAGGGTCCAAAAATAGACCCATACATGGTCAATTGGTTTTTGAAAAAGAAACAAAGGTAATCAGATAAGGAAGTGATATCTTTCTCAACAAATAGTGTTGAAATTAATTTATATATGCATGAAGAGAAAAAAGAACTTACCTTAGACTTTACTTCAAAGCCAACATCAAAATACACTTGGAATTATAGATTTGAATAATTAATAATAATTGATTGTACCCCACATTTTACATTTGAATGTAAAAGTCAAGAATATAAAAATCTCTATGATGGATAATCCTGTTAGGAACTCTTTATTTTACTGAAAGGAAATTCATAGATAATATCATAACTTCAATAGGATATCTTTAAAAATCAGTTTATCTTATCTATAAAAATAAAAATGTCATCTACATGAAAGATTTTAATATGAAAATGTTTAGATAAATATACCTTAGTTAAGTAAGCAAAATAAAACAGAAGGAAACACCTATTCCTAGAGTCACTGTCAACATAATTGATGTGGCATTGATGTTGTGGGGACTCATATTGTGAGCAGGGTTGTTACCAGTGATGTGATTTTCTGAAGCGGTATACTGTTTCAATGGATATCTGCATAGTAAAATGAAAGCGCTTATCTAAGAACTTTTAGTGAACTACAGAATGAGAAAATACAGTATTTCCTCAATTTATATTATAGATACATCTGGGAAAATAAAAATCACACATCAAAGATTTATATGAAACATTTGTTTTTCAAATATAACAAGTTTATTTTAAATCTGCATGAATATCCAGTGGCTTATTGAGAAGTCCAGGAGGGATAATTTACAATGTCTGTCCATTGAGAGACAACTAGTCTCCTGATTGTACCCCACATTAATGACTGTAGTGTCCACTCAATCCCTGAACAGAAAATGGATGTCTTGCAAGTTTCATTAAACCCTTTAAAGAACTGTTTCAAATTTTATGAGAACCACTGATCTAGGCCATAACAAGCAAATAATAATAATAATAATAATAATAATAATAATAATAATAATAATAATAATAAACTAGGAAGGGAAAAATGCACTTCAATTGAGTTAAAGGGAAGACATTAGGACTGAAAGAAGTGAAACTTTGGATCTGAAAGGAAATCATTGCAAAACGTTTATCCTTTAAATAAATGTCTCCTGGAATCAGGGGAACGCTTTAATTCTAAGCATTATATCCATGAGAAACATTTCAGGAGATCAAGGGGCATATTTTATTTTGCCAAACCTCTGTTGCCTTGACAGCCTTCTATAGCATCCCCTGGCCTGAAGTTCAGGGTTCCCAGGAGCCACTGGGGGAACTCTGGAAACTTGGGAGGGTCTTGAATTACCTGGATTCACAACAGCTGCAGTTTTGCCAGGACGTTCTCAGGAGCCAGAGTTCCTAACTGTACGGATTTGTCACAAATAATGTTTTCCATGTGTAGGGATTTCACAGATCCCAAAGTACTTTGGTTGGTGTCAACAACTTTTGTAATTTTAAAGAAGTTTAGGTAATGGATCAAGCTAAGGAATGATCCCATCGCAGAGGAAGGCGCAGTGGTGGGAAATCCGGTCTTTGCAGGAGGACCCTTTAAAGGCCTGAGCCTGGGTGTCTGTGGGGCCGAGCGCCTGCGAAGGGGGAGAGTGGGGGAGTGTCCTCTTTCTCCCCCCACCCTCGGGCGGCGGCTGAGCCAAAGCCAGGGAGGGCTGTCTCCTCCTCTTCCCCAGCAGCTGCTGCTCACTCAGCTCTCAAACCAGGGCCAGGGGACCAGGCAGAGCGACTCTGAGAAGCTCCTGAGAAGTGGATTCGCTCGGGGCCACCACGATGCCGGGGGCCGCCGGGGTCCTCCTTTTCCTGCTGCTCACTGGGGGCCTCGGGGACAGCCAGGAGCAGCGACTCCCACAGCGTCGACAGCCACAGGCGCATCAGCAAAGAGGTACCGTTGAGGCAGGGGCTTTTGATCCGCATCCTTTCCAGGGGCGCGGCTCCTGACTTGTCCTTTCTTCGCAGAGTTGCTGCCTGGGACCGCTTTCT